AGAAAGCAGATGCATCTTGCAACTCTCTATGGGAACATGCATTCCTACTGTTCTCTTTGAGACAGTGGTGTGGTGAGGCCCCAGTACGCGAGGTGCAACACTTTGTTTTTTGTTTTTTTCTGTTTCTTTTATCCTTTTTTATGTTTTTTTTCAGCGTTGTCCTGGTGTTCACACCGGCTGTGTTGCGGCTGCACGGAGCAGCAAACATAAAAAACATGAGTGCATCTGCCCACAAAAGGTGGGCAAGCACGTTTGTCGGAGCTGCTAAAAGGAAGACACAACTCAGCAAACAAGTCTAACGATAGCATTTTCCCACCTCCCTCTGTCGCACGGTGTGGCGAACTACAACTACACCGTCCCTTTGCGACCCGGGCCCTGGAAACCACTCTCAATTTGTCAAGAATTACCCGCCTGCGACTTTCTCATTTTCAAGGGTTCTGGGCCGTGCCCTCCTAACAACCTCTTTTTTCAAAACTCCACCTCAACTCTCGGTGGACAAAATAGGCATTTAGGTGTGGGTGGTGCTATCGGCCAGTGCTCTCGAAGTTTGAGAGTCCCACCTTCTATAGTAAGTCGAGTAGGGAAATAATTTTGAGGTTTTTAAAAGTATGATACCTCTCAGCCGAGAGAAGTAGAGCAAAACTCATTTTTGCTAACTTTGTGACGAACCACTTTCTGTAACGCGCGAGTTTCTGCGCGGTTGCAACAAGGGGTCCTAAGCTGAGAAGATTGGGCCAATTACGGAAAATCGGGATCGGTGGAAAATTGCATCAGTACCCTTGCTTCTTCGTCTTTTTCGTCGCTTCTTCGGGGCTGGGTGTGTCCTGGGACGGCCGGTTGAGTGATTGGTCGGATGGATGTTTGGCGCGGCGCCACGCGCGCGAACGATTAATAAATGTCGACGTCGTTTCTTTCGGTTCGGTTTCAATCTTTTTGGGCGCGGACATCGCGCTGGAAATTGCTTCTTTCTTTTTAAATTTCCTCTCGAATCTTTTTTGAATTTTGTCGAGCCCCCAATGGCTCTCGGAATTTCGGACTTTCCTTCTGGAATTCGTGCTTTTTGCTTTTTCGCATTAGATAGGAATTTAGGAATTTAGGAATTCAGTAATTAGGATTTTTACTGCCACGCGGCGCCTTTTGTTTACGCGCTTCTTCAAGCGGCTGCAACGGTACTCTGATTAGTGGGCGCCCTTAATCGTATATGTAACTGTAATTTTGGGCGGGCGCCATTGTAACTGTACCTCTCTTCTTGCACTTCGTCTCTCCCGCCCTCCCTCTCTTTCTTTTGCTGAAATTTTGTAAGCCGCGGCTTGCATGCTCGGATCGATGCGTGGAGAAGGGTTACGTCCCCCACGCCGCGGCCGATCATGCAGAACGCAGGGGCTCCCTCTCTAATCTTCACTCTAAGTCCTGGTAATTCCGTGTTCTTCGCGCATGCATGCACGCTATAAATTTCGGATGCGCGATTAGTCAACTCTCTTAACCCGTTGTTGGAAGCTCGGGGTTGCGCGATCAGGAAGGGTCGGCACACGAGCAAAGTAAGAGGTGAGTAGAGTAGGAGTTGGGCGACCCGACGGGCTGGTGCCGAACGTGCGGGATTGACGTGGGCCACGACGGACTGTGGGCACGGGCGAATCCGACGGGTGCGGGAGGACTAAGCGGGGTGACAACTTCGTGGGTTGGTGCGTGACGACGGACTGTCCGCATCGGAGAGAGAGAGAGAGAGAGAGAG